TGCCACACACATGCCGTGTGATGTCACCCAAGATGATTTGCTCCATAACTTTCCCTGGTACTGAGGTCAGGCTGACTGGCCCGTAGATCCCTAGATTCTCCTTACCGCCCTTGTAGATGGGAGTCACATCGGAAATCTCCTATCCTCTGGGACCTCTCCAGACAACTAGGAGTGCGGGTAGATGGCAGAGAGGGGCTCAGCAATCACCCCTACCAGCTCCCTCAGCACCCTAGGATGGAGCCCATCCGGTCCCATGGACTTGCGACAGTCCAGATGGAGAAGGAGCTCTTTAACTCTCTCCACCTGAATCACCAGGGATATATTCTGCATAGCATTCCAGACTTCCATATCAGGGTGTAAAGTGCCCTGAGGATAAATGATCTGTCTATTAAAGGCAGTAAAGAAGGCGTTGAGGACCTCAGCCTTCTCCCTATCCTTAGTGGTCACATTCCTCATTGCATCAAGTAAAGAATGGAAATTCTCCTTGGTTCTTCTCTTATTGTTGATGTATTTGTAAAAGGACTTCTTATTCTCTTTTAACTGCATTGGCCAATCTGTTAGGCTTTTGTCTAACTTCCTCCCTTCAAACCTTAGCAACTTCCTTGTAATCTCCCCAAGTGGCCTGCCCCTTTTTCCAGAGGACATAGACTGTCTTTTTCTTACAGAGTCTCAACAGTAGTTCTTCATTCATTCACACTGGTTTTCTTCCCCTACAGCTCACCTTACCACATTCAGGAACAGCCTGTTCTTATACCTTTAAAATTTCCATCTTGAGGTGCATCCAGGCTTCCTGGACCCCTTTACTCTTGAGGAGCAACTCCCAAGGGACCCCAGCAACAAACATCCTGAACTGGTCAAAGTCTGCCTTCTGGAAAATATTAATTTATGCTATATTTGGAGTATCACATCAGTATAAAAACCAAAATAAGAGTCATATGTGGCACAAGCCACTGCTTTTGGAAAGGTGTGTAAAGAGCTTTGTCTTTTATAATTTTAATTGTATGGGATATTAATCAGTGGTTTTCCTTCTTTACACCACCAGGTACCCATCTTCTCTCACCTTCAATTTCTTGGGTATAGATGTAGTTGTTCTATTTAGGGTTTGTTTGTTTGTTTTTTAAATTGTCTCCTACATAAATAAAATTTCATAAACATCAGAAAACTACATCAGCATGAACAGAAAACATTTTTAGCACTTGCCTAGAGCTAATATTATATATAGAAGATACATAATGTGGCAGCTGCATATCCACACTTCACTTCTATCAATACAATACAGAAAGAATCAGACCTATTTGGATCAATAGAATCATTGAATCACAAGGTTGGAAATGACCTATAAGATCACCTAGTCCAACCGTCTCCTCATCGCCATTGCCACCACAAGCACTAAACCATATCATGCAGCACGTCATCCAGACGCCTCTTGAACACTGCCAGGGATGGCAATTCCACCACCTCCCTGGGCAGCCATTCCAGTGCCTGACCAGTCTCTGAAATAGTTCTTCCATATGTCTAATCTAAACCTCCTCTGATACAACTTGCAGCCATTTCCCCGTGTCCTGCTCATTGCCTGGAAGAAGAGGCCAAATCCCTCTTCACCACAACCTCCCTTCAGGAAGTTGTGGAGTGCAATGAGGTCTCCTCTGAGCCTCCTCCAGACTGAACAATCCCAGCTCCTTCAGCTGCTCTTCATAAGACTTGTGCTCCAGACCCTTCATCAGTTTCGTTGCCCTTCTCTGGACACGCTCCAGAACCTCAACATCTTTCCTGTAGTGAGCGCCCCAAAAGTGAACACAATACTCAAGGTGCATCCTCACCAGTGCTGAGTAGTGGGGGATGATCAGCTCCCTGCTGCTGCTGGTTACACTACTTCAAATGCAGGCCAGGATGCCATTGGTCCTCTTGGCCACCTGGGCATGCTGTCAGCTCATGTTCCGCCGAGCATCAACCAACATCTCCAGATCCCTCTGTTCTTCACAATCATCCAGCCACTCATCCCCAAGCCTATAACACTGTATAGGGTTGATGTGCCTAAAGTGCAGGACCTGACACTTGGCCTTGTTGAACTTCATCTCGTTCACTTCAGCCCAGCAATGGGCCCCAGTATCAACCCCTGGGGGACACCACTTGAAATGGGTCGCAAGCTGGACTTCACTCCATTCACCACTACCCATTGGGCACAGCCCTCTAGACAGTTCCTTACCCAAAGAAGTGTATACCTGTTTAGACCACAGGCAGCCAGTTTCCCCAGAAGCCTGTGAGAGACTGTGTCAAAGGCTTTGCTGAAGTCTAGGTAGACTACATCAACAGCCCTTCCCTCATCTACCAGACTGGTCACCCAGTCATAGAAAGATGAGGGAATATATAGGTAGAAAGCCATCCTTAAAGCCAAAAAGGGAGCAGATACAAAAGCAGATGATTTATCTCCCCCATAAAATATCTGCTTTTGTTATGGAAATGCCATCTGAAAGAACTGTGAGGGATGAACCTAAATAATAAAAGATACTCAGTAGTGGTTATGGAAAGCTGAGGACAAGCTTCAGTGGATAACATCAATGCCTATATTATTTGCATCTCTGACAGTAACATAAATGCCTAATGTTGTTTTTAGTGTTTAATTTTTCCAATATGTTGTTTTGCTAATGTTCAGTAAAAAATAACTTACAAGTAAGTAAAGGCTTTCATTTCCAGTGGAATGGTGGAACAATATAATTATCATGTCAGGCGACACAGCATTTTGCAGTAACTCAGTAAATAATTTATGTCATCATTGTACATTTTTTAATAAAAACTACTATTTTTAAATGCACATTAGTGTCATGAAGACATCAGAGTAACTTGCAAGATACATTTTACATAGTGATACTGTGGGGTATCACAAAAGCTTTCACATCTCTTCAGACACAGGTGAGACCCAAATACTGTCAATAGGGTTTGCTTGGTGAAATTCTAGCTCCATTGAAAGCAGTCCTTCCTTCGAATTCAGTAAGGTGTGACTTTCACTTACTGTTTTCACATTGGGCCATTGGCTAACATAAGACAAAAAAAAAAAAAAAAAAAAGACTTCTGGTCAATCAGGGTTTTAGTACAGATCTTGCAGTCTGAGAGATAAAGTAAATCAGTGTGGATCAAATCTCTTCTGAAGGGATCTTAAAGGTCAAGTTGATGGTCAAGTCACTGTGATTGCTTAACTCGTCAACTTCGTGTAGAGACTTGCTGATTATCACTCTGGTTTTGGAGAGTCAAGTAGGACTGGTCTGAGCCCACTGGATTAATCCACGGGGGTGACTCCAGTGTGCTCAGACATTAACCCTCTCACACAGAATCTGAACTGAAAGGAGGACTCATCATATTATTGTCTTAAACAGTCTTTCATGTGTTAGTGAGATTTGTTATAAAACCACAGTATTACGTTCATGTCATAAATAAAATTAAGTATGAAAATCTACCCTTAAAATGGATTCTGCTTGTTGCCATGCAATTCTAGGAACAATCTATATTGCAAGACAAAAGTCAGAGCTTGTTGAAAAGTTACCGTTATTAAATCAAAATATATAAATAAAGATCAAATGGAAAAGGCATACTTTCTTTGTCTTAACTTCCTCATGTTCTGAAGGGCAAAGGAAACTGGCCCCAGCCTACATCTGCAGTCTCATGCACATCCTTCGGAAGGTCTCCAGCATCTACCACTACAAAAAGAGAGAGAGAGGAAGGGAGGAAGATGGGAGAGAAACAGATATTTAGGGAAAACAAAACAACAACAGATAAGAGTTTAAATAATAGTTTATATTTCCTTTATTTTATTTCCTCACTTCTCTCAAATGCCAAAGCAAGTCATATCTGGAGGGCTTTTTCATAAGTCATTCATCATACAAAAAAAAAAAAAAAAAAAAGAAAAGAAAAAAAAAAAAGAGATACATAGTGGTTATTTATCACATTGCTTTTTAATTTTTTTTTCCTTCTCACCAGAGGAAGGATATTATACAGTGTATACAAACATGTATGTAAAACAGTTTGTCTAAGAGAGACAAAGCTTCTCTACATATTCTTACAAAGTAAGAGAGAAGAGAAAGATGCTAGTATGTCAGTAATGTAATAAAGCATGATTAAATAAACAATATGGGCAATATGAATAGAATTCTCTGAAATTTTTCACAGTACACAGGAATAAAATATAACCATTCAGTCCCTCTCCCTCTTGAGCTCTGGTACAAAGCATGAAGCAGCATTCAGCTGGAGACAAGTCTTGTACTTGATCTTTGCAAGTCATCTATTTGTGCTGTTTGATCAAATAATAACACACAAGCTCCTAATAGGTCTCTTTTCTTTATTCTCTCAGAATAAATCTTTCTTCTTACTTTGTCCTATTGCAAGTTTCATGGATGACAAATAAGTCATTGATATAAAAAACAAATACAAATTGTTGGTTTAAAGATCCATCTGGCTTATCTGGCACTAGCTCCATTTGATGATTATGACACAAGCTTTACTGACATCAAAGTCACGTGTCTTCTGTAGATTTTAGAAAGAAGAAAGCAGTAGCCATGTACTAAATGTGCGGCCATAAAATGGCTGTTATTTTTGCAAGCAAAGTATGTCTATTTTAATAACTAATCATACTATGATAACTACGAATTAAAAAAAAAAGCATCAAGTTCATTGAACTCAGTTTGCAAGTATTGATGCATGCACAGAGCTCTGAAGCTTTGAGACATCACATGTTCTGCAGAGATGTCTGAGAATCAGTGAAGAAAACTATTATGAATTTTTAATTGTGGAGACTCGTCTAGACTGTGGAAGTCCAAGAAAATAAATAATAAACTAAATCTTTTGAAATCACTGGCAAGGTTAAATTCAGGTTTTGTACACAGGAATAAAGGATTCTTCGATAGACTTTTACCTAATTCCACTGCTACATATTCCTGAAGGAAAAAAAGAGATGATGAAAAAATAAACTGCCTATGAGAATAAATTTTCAGGCAACTATTTGCCTTGATGCAGAGAACAAGTAGAGCTTCTCACCCTCGCTCTTCAAGTCCTGCATAGCAGAATCCCTGTAGCCTCAGCTGGAGGAGCTGCTCTGCTCTGCATAGCCACAGTTGAAAGAGATGCAGCTGTCAGGTCTGTAAAGCACACTGAGAATAGAAATGGTCACGAAAAACGTTTCTTATACAGATATAGATCATTATTTTATTGACTCAAGAACTACCACTTCAAAACACACTGGCATCCCATATATTTCTGCCCCACTGTATCATCACCAATACCTGTAATACCTAAGAGCTGAGCACTGACATTATTAACTCAAAAAAAGGATAGAAAGCCTACAATGCTGATTGCACTTTTAAGAAACAGGCTGTATATGGATTCTGTTACGCTACCAAATCAAAACTATTACCTCAATGAGCTTGGCAAGTGTTTCAAAACAGGGAGTCCAAGGTAATCTACATCTTGTCTCCATTTGCCCTTGCTCTCTGGCTTTGCTTTCTGCAAGAATCCTTGTGAGAAGGAGGAATTTTGTCTGCATTAGGCAGACGCTGCACAAAACAGGAAGAACTTAGCCCTCACACATGGCACACCACAAAACAGCAGAAAGTCAGCTTTCGTAGAATTGTTTGTAGACTAAATCTGAATACAAACCTACTTCCCACGGGATAAAGCTGAAGAGAAACGACTTGCAGATGGACTGTGTGCTATATTCAGTGCAGTTCCCAATGCAAGTCGTCATATGCAGACTCCACTCTCATGTGTTGCCTTTGACCAAAGCTTGGCATCTCACCTGAAGAAGAAAGTAATTAAAAAAACAAAACAAAACAAAACAAAACTGGGCTGAAATTTGTGAGGTTTGCAGTCTTGGTTTCATTTTGCTACTAGGATGGTTATCAGAGGAGATATGAAGCTCTTCATTATGGATGGAAGTCTAGAAATGGTGTAAAACTGTTATTGTCAAAGGTTTTGCAGACTGAGTGATTTTAAATTGGATGTATGTCTTTAACATTTTTCTAGCTTCTAGCTTTCCATTGTGAACTGAGTCTTAGCACATTAGGGCTAGGAAACCAAAACCAGTAGTGCTAGATTTGTCTTAACCTTACCTTAGGCTCAGCTTGAGTTTGTTCAGAGAACTGAATGAAGATTTAGATCAGCTGATCTTATTCATGAGAATAAGCCCATCTCTAATCATAATGCAACAAACTACCTCAACAGCTCCCACAACCAAGCTATCAACACGACCTTGTCATTTCAATTTTTCACACATTTTCTTTGCTCCCCTACCCTCACTCCCCTCCCTCCACTGCTTGTGTACCATATCACACTAAAATCTCATCTCTCCAGCCTACTGCCATGGGCGACTAATCTGTAATACAGCTCCGTTTCAGAAATGTCAAATAGGATGAAAAAGGTAAAACTCACAAAAGAGAAACTTCAGTTGGCCATCACTTATCCTGTGAAACTTTCTCTTGCTCTTCACTTTACACCATGCTCCTGTCCTGCCCAGGGTTAGTAGGGTTTGGCCTTGGTCATCTGAGCGACACATGGACAATGAGGGACTGTTAATGCAGTTTCTAAAAATGAGAGAAATAAATGTACGGCAATCAAAAAATATTCCTCTTTCTCAGCCATTAAAAAAAAAAAAAAAAAAAAGAGAGCAGTTCATAGGATTATTCTTCTAAAATCCACTTATCGTCATTCACCTTTCCTTGTTCCTAAACTTCCCAACACCTGAGAGCATCAAAAACCCATAGATTCCCCTATCTTCTTGCTTTCACTATGAAAGCACTACTCATGCACTCAGGAATAAAGATCAGCGGATTATTTCCAGTTTTTCTATCCTGAGGTAATAAAAAAAAAAAAAAAAAAAAAAAAAAAGTGAACTAGACCAATTAGTGAATTAATACATTTAATGTTTTTTTTTATTATTATTTTTTGCAGGTATTTTATAGGCAGGAAATAGAACACTAAATTTATTCAAAAAAACATTTTGAATTACTGGTTCAGTTAGCTGTATATACTCCAAGTCAGTGGTCAGAGCAATCTATCAGTCTTCCAGCTCTGTCTGATCCAGCTTCTCCAAACAAAATCTGTTAGAAAAGTGATGACGTGTGTTATAAATATTTTTTCTAAAGCTCACACTGTGATCCACGTAGAGAACTGAGGGTCTGGCTTATTCCTGGAGCCTCTAATTTTCTGACCAGTTCATTTCAGTAGAAAGTAGGTACTTAAGGATGATAACCCTGCATCCATAGCACGTTTTATACACAGAATAAAGTTTATCAGTGACTTTCTACATGACAGAAGGGAATTCTCTTTTACCTTTGTCCATTATTCTCAAAGGCCAGAACTCTTCATCTCCTGTGGGTGTAAGAAAACACAGCTTGCAAAAGCGTTAGATCAGACGTGGGTTTTCATCTCTGCCCATTTTCTCTCACATGAAAGACTTATGGAGCAAGCAAAGCATGCTTTTGTTGACCAGCAAAGATCAAAAAGGCAGATTATTTTTGTCCTTCAGCCACTAGACTGATACTCTCAGTTCTGTTAACATTCTGCCCCTGTTTGAACCGGACACTTTGGAAGTATCAATAATGCAAGTTGGAGGGCTGCACTATTACTCATCTTGTGTTTGCCTCTTCTGCAAAATTAAATGAAGTTGAAATCAAAGGAGACACGATCTCAGTCATATAGGCAGAAAATCTCCTGTAGCTTTGCAGCAATTCTTGGTGAAATATTTGAAAATATTTATGTTGGCAGCAGCAACTGATCCACATTGTGAGCACAGAGTTAACAAAATACTTCCACCCCGCAGAGACATAAACAAAGCATTCGAAGGCACTCATCATGCTATCCACCCTCTCCTGCTTCCTTGACAGGCGCATCTCCTGAAACAGAATGTTGTTTTACAGGAACATCAGAAAGTGCAAAAGTAACTAATAAAACAGTGACAGTCCCACTGTAACCACAAGGACTACAAACAGTAAACAGTGCCCCCCTATTTATGAGTGAACAGAATATATGTAGCTATCAGAGCCCTTTCTTAACATCACCAGTTTGGGTCAAGAATAGATTCTGTAAGAGAGCTCAGTTTATTTCTCAGTCTCAGACTGTTTCCATGATGAATGTTCTTACAGGATTCAGATGATTCACTGGATCAAGAACAGAAATGTCAGCTGTGACCAGCTCTGTCAAATACTGTTGTTCTCTACCTTAGCTCACTGCTCTATGCTCACAGTCAACAGCAGCACTCCTATGTTTGTACTTGGCAGAATTATGCTCAATGCATCTGTTGTTGCATGTTTCCTTCCTTAAAAATATGTGCTTAGGAAAATTCACGATGCACTTACATATAAAAGGATTGCGTTGAAAACACTGTAGAAATATTTATCCACAGCTGAGAAGTTCTTGTCAATTTTCTCTGAAACAAAGAATAGTAATAACATCTTCCCATGGTGAGATATATCTGATTATAAGATTTCTAATCTGTTAAGCAACCATGTTGTGCAACAGGTACCACATGGATTCCTAGCTGCTGCCCTACTTTGACATCTCAAGCAGCAGTAGGTAATGAAGGAAGCCTTCGTCTACTGCAAACCCGGCCCACTCTGCAAGTTCAGTTGATTGGTAGCTCAGCCTCACCCTGGGGACCTGCTCCCCTGTACAAGAGATAACACCACAATCCCTGGGCTCCCCTAAGACCAACTGCAAGATTTTCGAATGCAAAACACAGGAGGAGGTTTCTTGGACACCATTAGCCTCTCCTGCAAAGGCTGGTAATAGTCTGAATTTCAAAAGCCTCCTCTGCCCAGTTACATAGGTAGAATTGCTGGTCACTGTGGAGAAAAGATACAAGGGATTTTCAAGATACTCAAGCAAGACTTGGCCTGATTTCAATCAAAGCTGAGAAATGAGAGCTTTTAAAGCCTGAAATTTAACTCCATTTTCTGCTTTTATACACACTTTAAATAATGAGTTTTCTTGCTGTTTTTCACTAAGGTCTGTTGCTTTCTTGCAATAAGAATGGATCTAAGAATAATGAGACACTCGGTGACATTTTCATCCCAATAAAAAAACCCTTGCCTTATTCTTTCACAGTTCTCAAGTGATGCTCGCATGTATCTCAGTATCGTCTTATCATTTGCAGCTAGTTTCAGATCTCCCTCTTCACCCAGCTCATGCGCAGTCTTCCCAAACATTTTTTTATAATGTTCAATGGCACTGCATGCCTCCATTTGTTTGCTTTCTTTTAAAAAACAGTGGATGGTTCTCCATAGTGAAGATTTTATAGACAAGCAAAGTAAAAACAAGCCTCTTTTATCCTTGCCTCCTTTCACTCTAACAAGTGAATAGCTTAGATGTACGTTAAGTATTTGAAAGAATAATACAATTTAACCAACATACGCTGCTTGGTGACCTAAATCACCTGCTTTCATAGACAGTTGACATTATTTACATTGGGGCTTTTATGTAGAGACTCATTTTGAATGACCCTTCAGAGTGAATATGCGCAGTAGGAGCACTACTCAGTGTATCAGCACCTACCACTTACTGTACTGTCTCCAGCTACCATGTATTTTTCAACCATGTGACTACAACTCTGAGGAAAAAAAAAGCTTTTTTTTTTATTTTGGTCAGTGGCTGACTTTAAGACCATACTCTGCACACAAAAAAAACTTGATTCCTTTCACTGATGAAACATATCCAGCATACCCTAAACCTGACATTTCCTTCCAGGGAGTCAGCCCTTGACAAGGGTGAAGCCAACTCTGGATAATTTCAAGGCAGACTGGAATAAGCCACCTTTTCGTTGCAGTATCTGATGTGGCCATAGACATAAAACATTTGGAGACTTACTTGGTGTCTTTTCAGAGAAAAATATTTAAAAATGAAGCTGCAGATCAGACAGCTGAGCTGACAAAGCTTACAGGAAGTGAACACAGTAAACAAGTCTCCAGACACTGCAAGACAAGAAGAGCAAATATTTTCTTCCTTGGGAAGGCAACTAGTTTTTACTAATTTTTTATTTGACTATATCCCATAGGTGTCAGATAACAGGGGAAGAAACAAGTAAGGATGTGGATTGGTGTCAGTATGGATTTAATGAGAAATACTATCATTATAACATTAAGATTTTTAAAATCATAATATTTTAAGGAGTTTGTTTTTTTTTTTAAACTGAGACTTATACATCCACAATTTCTTCGAGTATTGCTACATTATTTTATCTTGCCTATATATAGTCATGAATATTATTCTGTGTTATTGGACATTCCATGATACAAACTATAATATCAAGGTACCATTATTTCCTAGTTTATCCTTGCTATAAAGTCATTATTTCCAAATGTTGACTCCGTAGATCTCTAAAGAGTTAAATGTGAGGAACTCAAAACCTCATATAAGACAATAATAATCCCATAAACAAATGTAGCTTCATGGTACTAAGTAGATGAGCTTTGATCTCAGTGGGGCACCTCTAGCTCTGAACGCCAGTCTCGAATCTGACCATTAAAGCATTAGTCTCAACCACCAGAATGGGATGTGTTTAGAGAGGTGCTGTGTCACCATACACAATTTTGGGTTTTGAAGCTGATGAGTTTAAAATCATCTATAAGGATAAGTTTACAGCCAACTGTAAGAATCTAGAACACTTGTGATGGATCACCTTCAGACTCTTCTGCCTTTCTCTTCCCTACATCTACCTGACCATAATCATGCAGGACCTGTTTTTATCTATTTGTATTTTTACATAGCTTTGCATTTGCTTCTTTGAAATTAGACCTCCCAGCATAACTTTCAGGTTGAACTCACTGAGACATACTGCATGGACATCTCCAATAAGTTGAAGTTTGAGTTGAGGACAGGCTGAGGGAGTTGGGCTTGTTCAGCCTGGAGAAGAGAAGGCTGCGGGGTGACCTCATTGCAGCCTATCAATACCTGAAGGGAACCTACACCCAGGAGGGGAGTAAACTCTTCAAAAAGGCTGACAACAGCAGGACTAGGGGAAATGGATCCAAGTTGAAGGAGGGAAGATTTAGGTTGGATGTTAGGGGGAAGTTCTTCACAAGGAGAGTAGTTAGGCCCTGGAATGGGCTGCCCAGGGAGGTTGTGGATGCCCCGTCCTTGGACGTGTTCAAGGCCAGGTTGGACGGGGTCCTGGGCAACCTGATCTGAATGTGTATGTTTGGTGGCCCTGCTAGGCAGGGGGGTTGGAACTACATGATCCTTGAGGTCCCTTCCAACCCGGGTGATTCTGTGATTCTGTGATCTGTGATCTGTGAAGCTTAGGACTGTATGATACTCAAAGTATTAACTGCAATAATTACTTATTTTATGGCATACCAGCTTATTATAATATGAAAACCACTGTCATTGTGATTACCAACAGAACACATAGCAACTGGGAAAATAAGGTGTTCCAAGTTCATAATTATCAGAGCTTGCATGCAACATTATTAGATCCCATGCAGGTAACATAGAAAATTTTATATCTAATTGACTTACCTACAGAAAATTCATGCTGTCTCCTGCCCAGGGGTGCAAATCTCCTTGGAAGAGCAAGACCAGAATTGAGGAGCCAGGAGAGAATTTTTACAGTCTTTCACTGTTCATTAAGCGAAGATCTGCAAGACACAACCTGATGTTGTCTGTCTTTTTAAGAGATACATCTTCCAAGAAACCTGGGCTTTTAATTTACAGAGCTCAGAAGAATGTGAGAATATGATAGTCTGCATCTCTGTGGGGACCAATTATTGCTGGATGATATTGTGTTTTTTGGTTTTTGTTTTTGTTTTTTTTGTTTTTTTTTCTTCTCTTTTTTTTCCCCACAAATAGAAATTGTTCGATTTCAGCACGTGGAAAATCCAGGAAGCTAATCCATGCAGAGCACTAATTCTGCTCTCAAACACAAGAACACACACAGTTTCTGAATGTATGTGGTAATGACCTCCAGTATGATGCAGAAATGTAGGGATGGCTTTTACAAGATATCCAGCAATGCAAGGCTGCTACATATCGGATAAGATCCAAGCCCTTGCTGTGTAACCTCCACAGCCTTAATGATGTTCTTAATGGATACGTGGGCTGAAATTTACAGTTTCAACATGAGAGCTGAGAGTTGTGGGTGTTTTATATTGTTATTTTAATTAAATAAATAAGACATCAAAGTGATTCTAGAGACAGCAAATGCAAGTTTTTCTCATTTTTTACAATGCTCAGACAGTCTACCATGATTTCTCATACAGCGTTCTGTTAAAGTTGTAAGGGAGGCTCCAAGTCCCAGATTTTGTTTCAGAAGCATGATGAGTGCATCTGTATGCACGTTTGAGAGACTACAAAATTAGTATATAGATTATCTTGGACTTCAATATCTCAACTGGGAAATGAGGATAAACTTCTTTTACTGTACATACCTTTATGTACTACATAGCAATAGCTTTCAGTACACAACTGAGATGTATTGTCTCTTTTTTTTTTTTTTTTTTTGAAGTCGCATTTGGAAGTATATATTAATTTATTGCACTTTACAGATACATGATAGAAATCAAACTGCTGAATGTAATCTGAGCAGGAAGCTGAAGAGAAAGATTAAAACAGTATTTTAAATTTAGTCTAGTTTGCAAATGACCCTTGACTCTTTCTGCTTTGTGTATTCTTAGAAGGAAAATATATGTAAAATATGTTTCCTTCTCACTTTATCAGGTCTATGTTATTAAGGGCAAACCAATAACAAATAAACCAAACACAAATATTGTTGATTGTATTACTATAAACTAATATTACTGGACAAATTATTAACAAATAATAACTCCTTATAGCCATTTGGTAAACACTGGATGAATTTTTGTTAAAGATCATTATGCCATATATTTTCAGCTGCTCTGGGAATTGTGTTTATGGCCAAAAATCAAACCAAAGCAGAGTATATGGCCACAAAAAAAGAAAAGAGCTATTTTCACTAATAGCTTATGAATGATTTTGCAATATAATTTCATTGGGTGTTAGAATATATTTTATTTTATCAGTTTCAGATGTTTCAATTTTTTTTCAGCTTTCACTTCTACAAGTATTTCATTCCATTTCAGTCTAACGATAAAATTTCATTTTAACTGCTGGATATATTGGTTTCTCCACAGTTTTTCTTCTTTTTATTTTAACCACTTGAGGACTTGTACCACAACGAGAATGTCTCTTTGTTCTCTCTGTCTGATTTAAAGCAAATTGCCCTATGTACTACAGTAGTTTTGAATGTATTAAAAGTTTTTAAAATCATGAATTATGTGAAATATTCTAACAGTTTAAGTTTAAATGATGCAATTAGCCAGTTACAACTGGAACTACCAGGCCTTATTTAAAATAATGAGGTCTGACAGTTATGGAGCCTGAATTATTCATTGATAACTAGATTTTCCTCTTTTGCAAACCATGGCTAACATTAATAACAGAGGTGTAAGTGTGATAACAAAAGAGTTTGACATTGGGAATACAAATACAAACGTGCTAAATTCTCCCTTATTTAAAATTACTTCAGTAGTAACATTTCCAAAGAAAAATTCTTAAGATTATTTTCTCATAGATTTCAGCATTTGCTTCTGCATGGAATCGCTGTTTAAAGTAACAGATCTTGGTGCCTCAAAGAGAATATTTTCAAAATACAGTTAATTTCTTCATGTGCAATATTGTAATATTGTAAGTATGTTATCTTACAAATAAAATACAGCACTTTCTATTGTGACTTATCACGCTTCTCAAAGTACACACCAATGGCATAGAGCCCTCCCTGGTCTTGAAGATATACGATTTCCTAGTGCTCACCATATCACTGCTTTGCTTCATCCATGACCACCCCATCAGATTTGAAGTTAGCTTTTTACTTTAGGACACACAAGTAAAACGTTATTCTTTTAACATGCATAGTAAGAATGGTATCAAGCACCTTCTAGTATTTTTATAAAAGTCTGAATTCTTATGTGTAATTGCTTCCTGTAATCCTAGATGTTATTAATTAACATTGCTAAAGAACAAAACAAAATATCCACATAAAACAATCTACCAATAACAAACATATTTGTCTTCTACTTATCCAAGCGCTCATATACATCTGGGTGTCTTTTATGAAAGAAAGAACTTATACAATTGCAGTAGCAACTGGTATGCTCCGTTGTTCTCTCTCAAAATAAAATAAAGCAAAGAAAAACAAGATGTATAATCTTTCTGGAAGTAGAACATGCTAAAATGACTCATCTATAAGTAGGAATGACTGATTTTTGTCTAGAACTTTTGGTTACCACAATAGATAGATAACATTAAATTATCTGTGATATCAAAATAGAGATCTTAAACAAGCAGAAGCACAGACTCAATTTAGGATGACCTGTTGAGTTACTGTAATTACACAACTCATCAACAGAGTTGTTTAGAAGGTAATTATGCAACTGATTCTCAGAGTAACAGAAATAGGTGAAATTTTGCATGAAACCTAAATAGGTTAAACCTCCAACTGGATGCAGTGTTTTTCTGCGCACCTAACTGGAACTTTCTGAAGACTGTAGCCTAAACATGCATTTTAATAAAATATGCGTCTGTTATATTGTATTGCATACAGTTCCCCAGTGGAGAGAAATCAGAGAGGCGAAGGTCAAAATAAATGCTATATAGATATTGAAGTCTGTTCAGTGAGACTTTGCAAAGGAGGATTTGAAAGATGACTATTTTTATTAGTGCAGATGCATACAATATAAACTGATTTTTTTTGTGTGTGCAAATGTCAATTATAGCATACATATTGTTCACTGATGATTATGTCATTGGTCAAGAGGGAGGAGAGCCCCTAGATGAATGATTAATAATCAATGTGTCTGGGTTCTTATTTTATTCCTCAGAAAGGAAGAATGAATTACTGATGTCTCTTCCAAAAATGATAAAACCTCCAAGAAATAGGTCACACCACCCACATCTGTACGCAGAGGGGCCCCCTATGTAAGTAGATTTCCTTGTTTTGGGCATGGAGGTTCAGCCTCCCCTACTGTATCATTGCTTCACCTTCCTACACTCTGATGCAATTAGGGAGGAAAGGCAACGTAGCTCAGAATCCTATTAATTTTTCATATAATCATAAAAAGCTCAGAGAGAGGGTGGAGAAATACCTGGGGAAAAGGAGTCTGAAGGAGGTCCACAGTAGTGTCTAAGCACGTGGTCTCTCTGCATAGGTGAACCCAAGTCTTCCACTAAGTTTGGGCCAAAAGAAGGCAAATCAGACTGGGGCCCCAGGGGAATGAGAAAGATAACGAATAGTTCCTGGAGAAATACTCATTCTCTGATATTCAGTGATAAATTATCCCAAAGTAGATACAGGATCCACTAAGTATTTGCATGTATCTGTCAAAATTTAATGTTAACATGGACCATCATCCCTCCTGGGGAAAAAATAAAAAAGGTCACATCACTTTACATTGACAAACGTAAGTCAGATGGAATCAGTAGAAATGTTTGGTAGAAGCATATGGTAGTTTGTTTGTTTCTTCCCCACCCAAAGGAGAAATCATATGATAGAACGAATGGTTTTTTTAATTATTCAATCTCTGTTAGTAGCAGAGTAGGGAATTACTTTAGCTTACTCCTGTGTTGTGTCCTAGGTGCCAGATACATATGCCTCCAGGCAAGTTTAACTTGCGCACTCTCCTTTTTGTTAAGTGCCTGATGCTTCTTCTTAAGGAAACCTGCTAATTTCAACAGCTAAGTTGCATGCTCCCTTTCTTTCTTTTCCCCCATTCACACTATCTCCTTTATCCTTCTACCACTGCTGCAACGTCCTAGATGAGATCACAAAAACCTGAACCTCATAAGCCAAAGTGCTGGTATTCAAAAGCACTGATTATTTTATGCTAATGAATGAGCCATCTAGTAAGACAATATTTCACTTGTTGTGCCCTCCTGGTGGTAGCACAAAATAAATCCAACAGTGTCCTTAATTAACTAAAGAAAGTAGAAACAAATCTCTGTGGTTTAATAATATTTATGGCCTAAAATGAACAAACCAAAGAAAGGGAGAAAAGTAAAGAGGGGCAATTCAGAGAAAAACATAATACAAAATTCTCACGTATACTAGAAAGCACATCTGTAAAGACTTGTAAATAAGACACAATCCTAAATGAAGCAAAATTAAGCACTAAAATTAAGGTGATCACTGAAGAGTGTGTTAGAAAATGTATTTTTATATTTGTTAAAAATAAAAGTTAAAAAAAAAAAATTAAAAAAAATGAAGGCAAATATCTCTCGAAGCAAAGCTAGATCTTGGTGCCCACGCAGGAGTCAGATCATTTTTATCCATAAAACACACAGTATCATATGATGCCTGAACCTTAATTCAAGTAGCTCGACAACATGAATAAGAAAATGCCAGGTCCATTTAACTGTGTCCTTTGTCAAATGCCAATAGAGATAGTGACTTTTTATAAGTATCCGGTAGTTAGAAATATAAAACACTGTAAATAGATAAGGCTACATGGGTTGTATTAATGTGGGGTCATTTCACCCATTTACAATTCCTATTCTTTGGCTAGAGACACATATTTTGTTCTAGCCCTTAAAATATCCTGCAGATCTGAAGTGCTCTTAGAAAGAAGTCCGCACAGACCTACATCAAAGAAGATCCCAGAAAAAGCATCGGGGCTCCATATCATCAGGCTAACTCCAAGGGATCTCAGAAATTTAACTCTAGGGGAAGTACAAATGCACTTTCAGCAGCATAGCTGTATTGCAGACTGTTTCACGAGTTTCTTACTGGAACACATGCTTTTCAGATTGCAAACAATCTATGTAGAACTAGAAATCCCAGCAACACACCATCCAATGAAAAAGACTTCAAGAATAGACAGCTGAATTTGCTGTTGTTATTGAAACCTTACTTGAGCCTGTGAGACTTGTTCTTTCCTCAAATTACTTTAATTGAGAAGTCTGTACTCACACTAGGGCCAATAGCATGCTGGGATTAAAACGATGAGCGTTTCCTAAAGCCTATCTGCTTATATGACAGAGCAAAGACTGAATTTCCTAGCAGGTGTGCAACTAAATGTAAAACAATGACAATACAACGTATTTGAAATTTGCCTTGACCACATGTGCAAACCCTGTGAAGTGCTAAGTTCTCTGTAGCCCACTCCCTTCCTTCTCCTGATAATTTTATGCTATCTTGTAACATTGTAAAATGATAGAAGTACAGCAATAACAGCAGGGTGGCAAAGCTTTTGACTGCAGCAACTGAGGAAGACAAGCCCAAATGCAGCAACCACAGACACAGATATGAAGGAAAAGAGCTGCTTACCTTTCAAAGGTCTCAGGTATGCAGGGAGCTCCAGCAAGATACTATTGCCTCTATTGCCAACCCTTATATGAGGTCTGGGATGTGGGGGATTCTGACTCCATCCCTTCCAGTCACTCAGGGGCATTGCATGCACCTGAGGTGCCTTGGATTGCCCCTACCTTCCCACCAGGTGCTCAGTTTCTGGTTCAGGCCGTGACTTAGCAGTTCTGCTACACATTTTTAGATTGCTCTGTCTTGATATCACTGCAGCATTGTCTGATTCAGGATTTACAACATTTATTGACAGCAGGAAAACACATTCCTCCTTAAAACTCTATAATTCTTCAGATTACAATGCTGACTATGATCTCACTGCCCATTGCTCAATGTCTAAACCATGCTGTTTAAGTTGAATAGATATTTCAGGATGATATGTAAAAAGATTTGTTAATGCTATGAGATCGATTCACTGCAATGAATTTAAAACAGAGAATACTTACTGACGTGTGTCACTGTATCACACAATCTGTTGATACACAGTCTTGTTTGTAAAGCCTTAAGGGATACTAAAGGTCCACCATAAGGTAACCTCTAAACAGAAAAGTAATAAAATATGCCAATGAAGAAAAAACAATATTCATGATAACACACAAGGAATTATGAGAAATATTTTAATAGTCATCCATTCAGTGATAATTTTTCTGACTCACCTCATTAGTGCACTCATTGTCTTCAACTACAGTTGCAAAGCATTGTCCAAAGTCACCTCTCCATCTGAGTGATTGGAGCAGGGAGTTTCTTCTTCTTGTCAAATTGTGCACTCTTTGGAGCAGTGGGAGATGGACCTGCACAAAGGGGTAGAATTGCTCAGAAAGAAATGCTGGGAAGAAGCAAGCATTCTCCAGCCAGAGAAGGGAGCAAAGGAGCCTCTCCTGGAGCCTCATCACAGGCAGCACCTTGCATGCTCCCTCTATCCCTACTGTGAAAGTTTGGCTGGAGGATGATGGAATGGCACCATGTCCACTCTTCTATCCTCAGGAACTGGATAACCACATGCTTGAAGCACCTTTGTTCTTGAGAGCTACTGCTGCAACTTGCAGGTCCTCAGCCAATTCTGTGTTTACTTTCCCTTCCTGCACAGTGCTGATCGACAAAGACAGATGCATAAGCAAGAGGGTGAATAAATTGGGAAAAAGATTTAAGAAATGAACAAGGCAAACTCCATTCACTCCAGTAATCTACCAGTTCCCCTTCAACTCCACTGAAGATATCATGGCCCAGAAACAATAGGTTCTCTCTATTCTCACATTGCAAATAGTAGTTTGTTTGGTTTAAAAAAAGTAATGCCAATTAAATGTCATCACTTATCTACATACAAGAAGAACATGAGACAGCATACTAATTTTACACACGTTACTCTTTATGTAACTGGAAATGAATCATAAATGCATATGTATGGAAGGAATACATGTAGAACTTCCTATACTTTAAATGGCTCTTCACATTTTTTCTCTGCTCATACTAAATGATTTTTGTCAATATTTTAATTTCAGTTGGGAAGGGTGGAATCAAAGAGTGACATCTGGGAAAATTATTGTCAGCAAAGTGATGACTACATATCATAACTAAGAAATAATGTAAAGAAGGAAGAAACTTGATACAAATTTTAAATTTACTACTAAAAATCAAGAAGACATATTTAGAAATAAACAGAACAATATTCATCAATGTATAGTATTGTAAGATGTATTATATACATAAATGATCATTTCTGTAATCCTAAGAATATTAATGAAGCAACTAATAAATAAAATAAGCACCAAAGGACAAGAATATGACCTTAAAGTCCTTACTCAGCTGCCCTATTAACTTTTTGAACACCACTGAAAGTGTGTGTCAGCTGCTTAAATTAAAGAGAGAGTAATTAAAATTACACAAGTAATAGGTGACTGGGGTCAATCTCCATCACCCTATCTCCTATATTTCAGAGCATTTTACATTTTTTCCATCAATATACAATCTTAATTTTCCCTGCACATCACTCTTGGTTTAAAAACAACTTATCATGATAAGCATAGCTGTTCACTGATGGTCAGAGCACAAGTTTGGGAGCTATGGTCAAATCTCTTCCAACAGTGCATCAGGTGAGTTGATTTCTTTGAGTATCTTTCTGTATCTTTTTTTAAGCAAGTGCTTTGAGTACTGGGGAAGGAAAAAAAAAAAAGAAAACTCAGATCTGTGTTTCAGATCTATATCTAAGATCGCTTTTTCCATGACACACAGCAAATGAGCAAAAAAGTCATACTCATGCTCTTCTCTTGGACATTAAAAGTCACAATAGAACAGAGAGAGCCTTAATAATAGCCCAGACTTTCGTATTTTTACTGTAATAATAGTAATAATAGTAATAATAGTAATAATCATAATAATAAAAGACGTGAAAAAGCAAGAGTGGGAATGGAACCAGACAGGACAAAAAAAAAAAAAAAAAAAAAGGCAAAAAAAAAGGTTCTGACCAGAAATAGTTCTTTCCTCAAAAACATTGAGAGGCTTCTCTTAATGCCAAAGCATTTTTCAGACTTTGCTGTAAGTCATTGCACAGGTACAAATTATTTAGTAATAACCATGCTGAAAATTTCTAGTCATTCTAGTATTGTCTGTAAAAAGTATTTTGAAGGCACAGTCTGCACACAGCATCTAATGCATGTCTTCAGCAACACCTGGAATGCAATAAGTAAGTGGAGTTATTATGTGCTGTTAGTTGAGTGTATTGATAAGGGAAAGGGGAAAGTTCTAATGTAGGTACCTGCTTCCTTTTCTAGGGGGATTCTCACCCCACAGAGGCAAGAGAGAAAGCACAGAATCCAATACATATCTGTGTTCCACAGGTGGTCACACCTGTTCTGTCCCTTTCGCTTTGTGGTATCAGTCCAACTCCCTGTGATAATTATGGAGGATTCAGAGACAACATCAGGAGGGATCAACAGACTTTGAGATATGAAGCTATTATTACTGTTCATCACATTAATAATTATTCAAAACCTTTGCAGTTTCATATATTGACTCAATGGAGATACCAATGCATCTTTCCCTAATTTTACTAACCTTAGTGCCACTAAACCTTTTCCGTAGCTCCCTCTGTGTGACGAGTTCCCTTAATCTGTAATAAAATTCACTCCTCATTAAGTACTCATGATCATTTTTCCAAAGGATTGAGCAGAATGGAAAATACTCAGTTTTTTTCTTCCATGGTCCCACCTGTACAGGTCAACACATTTTTTTGTTGAAGGGGGATTTGTATGTGCATGTTAAAGTTTTTATTTCACTGGGATCTTCAGAGATTTGTAATGAAGTCCTGCTGTTAGCGCTATTAGCAGTAGGTCTGGAGAGCCATACATGACATTTGCTGTATTATGCCTTAGGGCCTCTGTGAGAGGCCAGCTCTCTCATCTGGAAGAGATATTCTGATCAATCAATGGTGAGTAAGACTGATTCATAAAGTGAACCCTTAATAAGTAGAAAAGGAATTCTCCCAAAATACTGGCAGAAGAGAAGAATGCGGGTGAACACAAGCAAGAGTTGGCACAGGCTTTAGCAGTCTCATGTCTACTCTCACAAATTTCAGCTTTTTCATTTTGTCTTTCTCCCTTGAGTTGCACATGCAATTTCATCAAAGATGGAAGTTTTGTCTCAGAATTTACACAGCAGTAAATCAGGTGGACTAAAATTAGAACAGAAAACGGCAAAACACAACAAAAGAAATAACAATCAACAACAACAAAAGGAAAACAGGTTGACTACAACTACTTTAAACATCGTAGCTCTTACAAAATGATGATTAATATCTTTAGCTCTGGTAACATCCAAGGAAACATGGTGTTTATCTTTGATATACTGGTACTTTTTTATTACATTTCCAAGGCTTTTGTCTATGGAAAGTCTACTGAGAGTGAAGATCTCCAACAGAGTGGAATGACTCATTTGGCACAAAATAAAATTAGACTAAACTAAACCAATGAGATTGAGCCAGTCTACATATCTTTCACCTCCATTCTGGCTCTGAAATTCTCCTTTATGTGTAGCTCCATAGAAATCTTACTCTGCGTTATACTGAATTCAGATAGGATTCAGCTATGCCACTTAACCAACTATTGGAGATGATGGGGAGTTCTTCTCTTTTTGTGAAAACTCAAAAATGTACAATTCTGCCTCATGACAGAAGAACACAGTAGTGACTACACACTCCTCTTGCCAGTAAAGTAATCCTCCCTCCAAATCATGCCTTCTCTTCAGGAAAGTTGTGACAGGCTAAAACACTCCCTGACCATACCCCACACCTTGTTGATGAGAGCACTTCAGTATAGACTTGCTGCTGTGTAGGCTGATTTCTTGTGAATTGGGCCTTGGATGTGCATGCCTGGAGGTCACGTTAGGGCCACCAGCATCCAGCTGCCTTCTGCATAGCCATTCTACAAGGGGAATGCTGGCAGCTCTAAGGTAGAACACCGACTGGCAGAAGATCTTTCCTTAGGTTTTTGTTCTACACGTAAAGTTTAGAGGTTTTCCTCTCTTACAATTCTTTTCTCAAGCAGTTAATGAGCTGTAGTCAATTCTCTCCTCAACTATCACATATGGAAACTAAGTAAGCCAATATAAAAATAGAAATCTTTCTATCTGTCTATCTATCTTCTCACTTTTCTAGTATTCATCTCTTTCTTGTATTTTTGTCACTTCTCAGTAACACTGAAGACAGATGGGAAATGTAGTTTCTTACAAAGTCATTGTTGGTTAGATTGTCACTGAACTTGAAAGGACTTTATTGCAGCCCTCCTAAAAATTGTTACTCTTCAGTATTTTCCTAACCACCACCTTTTTGTGATGGCTGAATTTAAGAAGGAAATTGTCATTTTAAACAGTCTGTTTTTATAGCAACTTATCAAACAGTGGCCTTTAGCTGTTGTTTTGTGACAGCCACTCTATTAAAATCCTGATGTAAACAAGTGGAGAAGGTGAACTAGAAGTGCAGATATTTGCACTGCATTACTGTCAGGTAAAATTTTAAAGATAGGTTTTATGAACCCACTATTTGCAGTCAAGGCTTTTGACTACAGCATCTGAAATCATTTAAGTAGACAAAGTGTTTTGTCAAAACATACTGCTGGGAGTCAGTATGTAGCTTCTTTTTATGTAATTCAGTTTGGCTCTGTTGTTTGCATGAGAGAAGGATATCTAGCTGGGCAGCAATACTGGAGCTGTGTATGATCACAATACGGTGACTTTCCACTGTAATTAATGGTAAATGCCTTTTGTTTTCATTTGGTGCCTAATGCATGCATAATTGTACTGTACATACAGACGTTCCAAGGGAGATGCTTGAGGGCTTCTAAATACAAACAACAAAACCCAAAGATTTTTACAGTTATCTTTGTAGGAGTGGGAGGTGCATAAGAACGTGTGCCCACTTTAAAAGCACCAATCTCTGTGTTTTGCACAGCATAGCATTTGAGAGAGATGGGCATTTTAAGGAATTAGAGTTATTGCTGCTCTTTCAGCCCTGAGCCCCCACCCAAGGTGATTCTGAACAGGACTGCCCTGCGCATGCTGGCTTGCTGTGGTCCTCTGAAGAGCTGTACAAGGGCAGCACTATTAGAGTACAGTACATGCTAGCAAACCTCTCTTCACCCCATAAACCACTCTGAAATTGCTGAGATTGTCTGCAAGTTAGGCAGCTTTCTAAAAAATACAGCCTAGACATTCACCAAACATTTGCCCAACCACTTTAGAAACTATCTGATCTTCACATTTCCAGCTCCACTACTTCATCTAGAGCAGCAACAGCAGCACTGAATGTGACTAGGGAGTTAACCAGAAGTTCACAAACCTGATGCTGTTTGCTGGGGTTATCCTGAGATACGAGGCAGTACCCCTTAAATGTGAACTACAGTTATTTCATATGAATTATCATTTTGCCAAGCCATACCTTACAGTGTTTTTCATTTTAATTTTGATTGAAACCAGAATTTCTCCAAAAGACCTGTATAGTTTCAAATGTAATTTCCAAACTTACTTCACTTAGATACTGCTGTCAATTGAAACCATGATGACAGGAGGAGGAAAGGCATTTAGCTCCTCACACAGAAATAACATATCATTTTGAGGTGTAAACCACACAGTTTTAAATAAGCTAAAGTAAGCTAAAGTAATAAAGCTGCAAGACATGAAGACCAGCTCTTCTCCATTAGCATATTGGCAGAACATTAGTAGATAAATGGAGAAATCTGCAAAGATAACGAGAAGAAGAAAGCATTTGTCAGGCAGTAGCAATGATGAGTGTAAGAGGAGTAAGATAAACAGCGCAAAAGTTGTCAGATAAAAAGTCAGCAACTTCCTGCAGTAAGATTATATGTCTTTTAGCAAGTCCTTTCCATCCAGATTTTCCTTTTAGAACTTTATTTTGATCTGCTACACATCAAAGCCAGATAAATTATGTAAAATGCTCAGGCGTCCTTTGCCCAGACATAATTCTACATCTGTGCACATAAATCAGATCATTTAACTAGTTATTACATAGAATAGAGATCGAGAAAGCTAACAAAGGGAAGAAAGCCACAATCACCGATGTATATAACCAAGAGCTGTCTACACAACCATTTAATACCACTGTAGCAGCATCAGTTAATGAAGTGATTAGAACAGTCTAGTACTGTGTATATGATTTATTTGAAGATAACTCCTACCTTAGCATAGCATCTAGCTGCAAAGATGGTGCTGCTGTAACAGTACACTCCACATAGGTCACCAGAAATCTCTTATCAGTTGATCTGTTGAGCCACAGAGCTGTAATATTCATGTATTTGTAGTACCACTTTTCAGTTCAGTACTTTCTTCATTTCAAAATTAGTCCTGGTTACACCATTTAATCTACGTTGTTTTCTAAGCCAATTACTTGGTGCAATATGATGGCTTTTAGTATACCAGCCTGAAGTTCTGCTCTGCCACAGCTGCAGAAAGGGCACTGAAATGGCATGCCACCAGCCTAGCTCTGTTTGGCCCTGATCCAGCAAATCACTTAAACACCTGATCAACTTAAAGCATATGAGTAATCCCATAGAAGACAAGATTATAAATTCTTTGAACAAGTTCCTGCCTTGACTCGTAAGCTCTGAAAACAGAAGGGAACATCCAAACATCTTGTCTGACCTCTTGTATACCACACAATTTCCTTCAGTTTTGTCTTGCTCTTACTTTCTTAGGAGAAAAAAATCCAGCTCTAACGCTTAAATTTTTGATCATGGAGAAACACTTCTGCATAATTTTTTCAATAACTAACAATCCTTGCCAGGAAAAGATATAAAGATATAATGAAAAAAAGATATACTTTTTTTCAATCAAGATTTTACAAGCTCCTTTGGATTCACTGAATACTGTTGTCTTTTCATTAATCAGACTGAAGAGGCAGAGATTATCACATTTCTGTTTCATGTACACACTTAAGGACTGCAATTAAATCAGTGCTTAATTTTTACTTTGATGAATTGAGACTGCGCATTTTGAGTTTCCCAGTATACAATAGATTATTTGTCTTCTAATCATACTCCTGTCCCTTCTCAGATCCTTCTTGTGTTCTGCATCTCTACAAATCTGGTTTCCGGAACAAGACAAGGTATTTTCAGAGAGGTCAATGCCTCACCTAAAAGGCAGTGGAGATTCCTGCTTATGGACCTGTTTTTCTTCAACAAGTGTAAGGTGGGATCTTTTGGCTCAGGTTCACACTAACTATTTTCACAGAAGTGACAAATCATGCTTCACCTTCCAGCCAATTTTTTCACTGTAACTTTTCCTGGATAAGTACACTCTTCTTGATGCATCCCCACACATACTTTTTTGTACCTCGTTGTATGATCTTACCTTCACTGAAATGCAATTTGGTTGTGCCTAACTCAATTGTTCTCAATGTATCCTTTAAGAATTTTCGTTATTCCTTAATCTCTTATTTATATGTTGCATTCATAGTCTTAGCGATGTCTACAACTTGTGATGGTTTTCTTCTACACCATGAATTAAGATAAAAACAGATTAACAACTCACTAGAAATATGTGTAGTCAGTGGACAGCTCACTATTTGCAACTACATTTTTAAGAACAATGTCACGTTTAATATATTTAGTATGTACCATATTGATCTTGTAATGTTCAAGTTTCGCAATAAGATGTTTCATGAAATCAAATCAAATTTCACATAAAAACTATTTCTCTCTACATTTGTATAACATCCTAAAGTTCTCATCAATACATATCAAATTACTCTGACAAGATCTAGGTTTTATTAACCCTTATTGATTTGCTTAAATTATGTCATTCTTCTTGCATAATATTACAATTTCAATATCATGTTAATATCTGCTTGTAGCTACCATCCATATACAAGCACAAAATGCAATACAATAATTATTTATATATTATTATTGTAAGAGTTTGTGATAGAAGTTTGGAGAACAAGATAGTAGATACACAGTTGTGAAGAGCGAGCCCTGGACTGACAAGACAGAATATTCACCTCGGGAACTTTAACTTCTCAGAGGTGAGAAAAGGTTGGGAAAAAAAGAAGAGAAAAAAGCTGTCTCTAAGGGAGAAAAGAAAGGATTTAAAATGTTATTTTAATGAAGAAGGAAAAACGGTAAGGAGAGGAAAAAATCAGCTATCAAAGATGCTCAGAAAGACCATAGAACAAAGCAGACTGGGGGTTGTTAGAGATGACAGAAGAATATTCAAGGTACTTGTAATGCTAAATAGAGGACTCCAGGTTGAAGGATGAGTGACAGAAAGCAGAACACAAGAGCAAGGCACTAACCTTGTGTAAGCACTGCTTCTGTGTAACTAAATACTAATCATAGTTAATCATTGGTATACACAGGAGAAACAGAAGCCATGCACACAGAGAATGCAATCTCATGAAATCTACCCACGGAAGTGATCCTGTCTAGTATTTCAGCCTCCTTTCAGGAACCCTAGCCATAGACAAACAGGGAGTGATGCCAAAACTGGCTGGTGCCATTGACAAATACAAGAAAGTACTGGAAGTTAGCACAGTGGGCATTTTCAGCTAAATCTGGTTTCTCTTTTCCCAGAGAAGAGTACTTAAAAAAATGGAAAAAAGTAGTCTTTGGAGAAGGACACTTTTAACAAGATCTTTTCTGTTTGCTTCATTCCCTTGTGAGGGTTCAGAGCACTGGAATTTCTGTAGGACTCTGTTTGAAAATAAGCAGTTAATGAAAAGGTATGGGCATGGCTTACTACCCTAAACTAGTCCTCTTAGAATATCCTGGGATTTGCCAAAGCACTAAATGACGTTGGCATAGAACACTTTAAGGGAAAAGTCACCTTTATTCTTTGCTTTTCAGTATTTAGAAATGTAGCTTCAGTTTCCTTTGTGTTTTTTGTATGAAAGAAATTCATTTTGAATAGAGATGGGTCCATTTCTTTAGTTTTGATCTCAATGGATACCGAAGCTGGACTGCTGCGCCTTCCAACTCTTGCAATTTCTAGGGGAAGAGAGGGCAGCCAGGTTTAGATGAAGGGGACTGAGCAGTAGCAAAAAAAAAAAAAAAAAAAAAAAGCTTAACACGGAGAATCTCAGTTTCTGAGACTAGCAGTGTTAATGTAATGCTTTGCTATTTCTATAAGAACTATACACAATTAGAACTTTGCTGACAGTCTAGGCTACCTTATTTATTTCCAAGTCAACAAAATTCCATGCTCCAGTGAACCTTCTAAACAGCCATTGTAACACGTGAGTCTATTGTGTGCCTCTTGAAGACAAACCCATTCAGATGCCCAGGTTTAGGCAGAACGTTGCAGACACTTGATGCCAGAGAACGTGTGCTACTCAGTGGAGAATATGATCCTTGGAGATCACAGGTAAGCCTCATTTTCCATATGCTAGCTCTGACTATAGCGATTTTTTTGGTCATAATGGTTTTTCAGATACATGGTAGAAGCACAAAAAGCCACTGCTGTTCAGGGAAGTTCTGCATGTGTTCAGACAGCTTTTCTTCCTCCACTTTGGATCTATTCCATCCCCAGTGGTAAAGCATACTGTGGAATCCTATGATGATAGGAGCAGTCGATACCTTTGTGAGAACAGAGAGCTCTCTTTATCAATGTATGCCTTTAGTTCAATAAACTAGGTCTAATTTTCCACTGAGGGATCTAAAAACAGCAGAGAACTTTTGCATGGTACAATGTTAATCTTTTTAGCTAAAGGTTTGCTTGACTGTAGTGAGCTTTCTCCCTATTCTAGCATTGGGGGTAGGATTTCCATAATCTGTGATTTAAAGTAAGTGATACTGTGTTTGTAATCAAAATAGTGTTCTATTGCATGTCAGTACTTGATGCCTAATTAAATAAACAAAAGTTTAATCCAAATTAGAAAGAGAGGAGAGAGAGAAAGAGAATAACCATTAGAATACTGTGGAGATGAGAATCTTGGCAACAGTAAATGAACAGAAACACTTTGGGAACCTGCTAAGCAAGTATACACAATAGATTTTTTTATCCCAAGTATCTCTAAGAAATTAAGATTTTCCCAATGTTTTTTAAAATGAGTCATCTCTTCCTGCTTTATCTTTGCAATGGTATGAGTCTGTGAGAGAGCAATTCTTTTGTACCTGATGTTGAAATTTATCCTGTATGTCTTGCATCATTACTGCCTATTGACTGCAGCAGAGAAAAAGACATTTTAAGAAAATGTTTCAACGACAGAGCAAAATAAACAGTGGAACATACAACCAATAATTCATTAAATAAGAAGTCCAAGCTTTTATCTGGCTCTTCAAACACATTTTAGGCACTTCAACAAGATTAGAAAAACACTTTTATGCCAAAAAAGAAGCTCCTTTAATCACTTCTCTTCTAAGAAGATACCTGCATGAAAAGAAGAGAATTAACCTCTCTGCTGCCACTACTCCCTTGGCTGCAAAAAAAAATAAAAATAAAAAAAAAGAAAAAAGCATTTGTAAAATTTCTAATCCATTTGGTCCTGTCAGATGGAAACAGTTATGTTTTAAAAAGCATTAATCATACAGGAAGATATTTTCAAACATATATCTTGCTGAGAAATTCTTGGTGAACACCAGATTATCATTAGTCCATTCTAATGGAACAGTAAGCATCCCAATTTTTGCAAATACTAGAAATAAGACCAGTCCATCATCATTGTTATAGTTTAATACTACCTTTTTTTTTTTTTTTTTTTTAAAGTTCTATTTACCATACTGCAGTAAAGGGAAAGCAGGGAGAGAGAAATATTCAAAAACTTTTAGCAGTTTAGAAAGTAAATGAAGGCAGGAGAGAAGAGATGAACTCCATCAAATGCATGCTTCTTGATTGACTGTATGTATTGCACTGAACTGAATACAAAATAGTTAAATTATGTGGTCAAAACCAAAAGCAAGGCTATATACACACACACACACACACACATATATATATAAACATCTAGCATATGCAAGTGCATCTTACAATGCAGTGAGATCATACAGCTGTTAAGTGATTTTGCTGGGACTCTCTTCAGGATCATTTAAAAGCCTGAATGTCAAGCAAAGTCTTCTACAGACTGAATATCTCTGCCCCATTCCCTGCCTTTTCCTCTGTCCTCAAACCTGGCCAAAGTCAGCCTCTTGCAGATGAGAAGTTCAGCTGTTGTACCATCCCCTTTCATTCCTCAGTGAGAAAGGATTGATGCTAATGTGGAAAGTGAAAGCATACTTCTGGACCACTCTCTCCTGCTGCTGCCAGGTGGTCTTACTGTCTCAGAACAGAAAGCACCTGTGGTTTGTTTTTGTTTTGTTTTAGTGTGTTTTTTTTTTTTTTTTTTTTTTTGTTGTTGTTGTTGTTGTTTGTAAGGCCTGCTTGCACAGACTGGCATAGGTTAAAAATAATAGCCTCAGGACTGTCTATACCACATCTTTCCTGAAAGGCAAAAGTTCCTTAAAATTTTTTGTCATCCTTTTGGAACTACCCTGCACTTCTTGATCCCAAAATACAATGAAGTAAGACTGCGTTTTAGTCTGTTCAGACCCATCAGCACTGCCTTCACATCACAGCAGGTATCCTTCTCATTTTTGGTTTCTCCAGACAGTAGGAAAACTGGATACTTCACTGACATGATAGGCATGCTTTTGATGGGGTCCTACTACTATTGTGTCCAACAAGTCAAGACAGTGCAGTTAAGGAAGATGTTTTTGTGAAAATGATAGAATATGTGTTCAAGGGCAGTGAATAAGTTCCCTTTCAATAGAAGCGCACACTGTGTCCAGGAACAGTCAAAAGGGTTAAAATACAATCTTTCCAGATAAGTTTCTAGCCATATCAGGCTCAAAAAGTCAAAAGATTTGAAAGCTATTAGTACTTCTGTAGATCATCCTCTTCCAGACACTTTTTTCTTTTTTCCCCTTTAACTGACAGGTTGCAGTTAAAAATTAAAGTAAAAAGAGGCCCTCTTTTTGCTACATACTTTTAATGGAACTGAAGCCAAAATAAGTCAGACTAAATTATGGGAGTAAATGACCTCCCGGGAAGCATAATACCAAATTCCAAAGAACTGTAAAGAGTTTCCTTTGATCTTTTTAGCTTCACAGCCTGAAATTCAAAATCTGTATTTAATTTTAGATTGCATATGCCAGCTTTTAAGTTTCCTTTCTAACATGATATATCATTTTAAATGATAGGACACCTTTAACTTGTATTTCTTGAAAATGCTGACTATCCTTTCTTTATTCTTTTACACTATAAAAACAGATATAAATATTACTAATTGCAAAAATAATTTGGGGTTGGGTGCTGTAATGGATAAACCATTGACCTTCACTTAAGAGACTGTGCCTTCAAGCTCAACCTGAGTTTCTAAGTGAAATGACTTTGATCTGAGACAGAAGTAACTTCAGTTCAGTGCCCTAGAGGATATAGATCTAGAAAAAAGACAAGCTGTGCACTTCACTGTATATTCCAGTTACAATTTAAGAGGTAGACAAAGGATGCTATTTTTCAAATGCAGCATAAAGGGCATGTTTCTTTCTATGGCCAGAGTTACCCTGCAAGGACTGTGTTTGTAAACCAGAAATCTCAAAAGGCACAACGAGCTGCATTAGCTCTTGGCTGGAGAATTCTCTAACCCATGCACTTCAACATAGACTTTAGATATGGGAAGCTGCAATAACTTCCCTCTTGAGTCCAGAAGAGAGCCACAGAGGTCTTTATGCAATACACAGCATGAAAGAAGGCACCTTTCTTGATGAAAAGTAGATGGCAGCAGGTTGGTTGAATGCATAACATGCAAGAATGGCTGCTAACCTATGAACTTGTACTGGAAAAGCCCTAGGAAGAGTTCTTACATACAATGTTTTGTTCTGTGTCTGTCTGATGACTGGTCAAACAAGGGCATAAATATAGCTCAGAAATTTACAGTACAATAATGTTACAACTTACATCCTGGGGGAATAATTTATAATGCATAATTTATCCACTGAATTTAGTTTTTCTCCTTCTACTAATAAAGCATCTACAAACTGGTCCTGACTTCCTCACACTTGCTCTATTTTCCAAGTCAATCAGTGTTATTTTTTAGGCTGAGGGAATGATTTATAGAAGTCTTCTTGTGTTACTTGGAGCTATAGTGAGATTATTTAAACTATATTGAGATAGCTCCAAATTATTTAGTTTAGGGTTGGTTTGTTTTTTTTTTTTTCTTCTCATTTTTCAGATTGTGAAAACCAATCAACCAACCAATTTATTTACCACAGCACTTCCTGTATGGAAATACCTGGAATGAATGTAGCATTTTCTTTCCCATGAACCATAATAAGCGGCTCCACATTTTCTACAATTCTGAAAGAGTGGAGAATTTTTAACTGTTAAAAAAAAAAAAAAGAAAAAGAAAAAGAAAAAAAAGCCCTTGAAGCAAGAGGTACAACTATACGGGGCTTGGGGTTAGTCACTATACATTCAAATCCAGACCTTATCTCAGCCCACCCCAGGCAGTAGTTATTGCTACCTTTCTTCTTCCCAGTGAATTGCTGACATCCAATCATCCAGTTGGTTTCTGTAAAACAGAAGTATCAAGTAATTTTAAAATAGATGAAAATAGAAACACTTAAACAGAACAACGTAAAATTGGGTAGGGCATGTCTTTCATTCACTGACAAGGTAATATAGATTGACGTGCTTTGAGATTGTGGGTGCTATTTTGTAAGCTTTTTTATTCCCAGCCCAAGTGGAGCAATTAAAATATTTACAAATAACTTTCCTCTCCCCCTTCAACTAAGAAGTTTATTGGTGCTTATTTAACAGCAATCCTGTCTGCCACTCTTCTAAAGAGACAGACCAGAACAAACACAATCTGGAGAACATTGCCAATCTCAGCAATTTCTTGGGTTCCGTGCAGGTCATCAATAAAATTCTAAACTTCCCCAAAATAGGGAATGTCCAGGCCTCATTTATACCCACCCTTAATGCTTTAATGGATGTTATAATTTGTTGATTCAGGCTTTCTTATGTCTAATATTACAACACCAGTCAGGAATTACATAAAGGTTAATATTTACCAAGCAGAAATATATTTGTCATTATTATAATTAAAAAAAAAAAACTTTCTACAACAACAATAAAAACCAACCTCTAATTTCTGTGAGAAAAAAAAACTATGATAGAGAAACTCTAGATTCGGGAATCAGTAAGTGTTATATTATAGTGAAAGATATACACCGTTATCTATTAGTTTTGAACATGACATTTCATTCCCATGTAGAAAGTGTACAAATTCATTACAAATGCAAAAGCACATCTGTCCAATACTGCTGCGCATAAGCATTTTCATGAGCTTGATGGGTAGTTTTATGACCAGCTGAGAGAAGAAAACTGAGCTGAGGATCAGATAAGACTTCCCATGAAAGTGCCAGTAGTCATTTAAACTTAAGCAGACAAAGCATTCCAGAACACATTGTTTTTTAAAGTGAAAGTGTAGGAGATAGAGACAATCACATTTAAATTGTCTGACAGAAAGGCAAAGAGATGTTACATATATTTAAGTATGTACACATTAGCAGATCAACAGATTTGACGTTATTTCCCACAATTTCCTACCCCATCTACTGTGGTCTTGCATCTGGTACTCAGGTGATGTCATACCAGGGTTGGTCGCACTGCCTTCTCCCAAGGACACAGAGTGTCAGGGCTGACAGGCTTCCATTCATGATTTTCTTACTTCAAATCCATGCTCTTAAATAAAATAGGTACTGTGCTTTTAACAGCTTTATGAAAATAACTGCAGTAACTTCATGTCCTATTGGTGAATCTATGCGCTATGCAAAATATTTCCTTATAATTTTTACTCCTAATTTATGTCATTTTATTCATTTATTTAACTGTTACAAAAGGTTTTTGACAAACTGATGGATAAGACAGTGCTGAACAATCTTAGGATATCACTGGCAGCCAAGAAGTCTTCTGCTTCGTTACACAGAGGCATCAAACAATTTGGAGATATAAAGAAACATGAAAGCATATGAACCACCATTTTCACTCTGAACTATTTCTCTCACATTTCTCAATCATTTTAAATTAAAAATTGGTAAATTCCTTCACTGTGAAGCATGTAAAATTTTACAGTTACATAATCTGATGCAGTGTCAGTCCATGACACTTTCATTATTCTATTTCTTTCTGACCTTGTTCTCGGTTTCATGTATGTAAATTAAGGGGAAGAACTGTCTCTCCTTTCGCAGTTGCAGAGTTATTTTGATCCTTCTCAGGATGGGAGACTGCATGTTTGTACACATACCAATGTGACAGGGTTCCAAGCTTCACCACAACAACTTTTAGGTACTGTGATAATGCAAATAATAAAAAAGCCACTGTTGATTTATGTCCTTGTGCATGTGAGTGTCTAATTAGTATTCAGAAGACACTACTTTCAATTGGATACATGGATATATGTTATATGCCACATACGTGGTTCATACTGACAAATGTAAGTAATAGGCTTGTTTACTTGTTTGCATTTAATTTAAAAGAAAAAAGGCTTCTGATCATCCCTCTTTACAATTGTATCAAGTCATTGTCTCAGAAAACCCCCACGTACATGTTCATTGAAAGACATTCAAAGATAGGGCGTGATAAGTTGGACAGCCATTCTCTCCTTGTGGGGCTAATGTATCTCCCATTACCATTAAATTGTGTTATATGTGCATATTAAGGGAAGAATATTAGTGATTAATAACAACCTACATTTTCCAGTGTGCTGAACTCTTTCAGGAACTGGTGAAGGTCCCAGAAGCTAAACTGCACCTTAAATTTAAATGCACATGTGTTGTACAGCATATCTTTAAGCAAACACAATGGTTTCAGTGATCGTTTCAAGGTCATTCCAGTGCTAACTTCTGACATACAACAATGTAGCTAAGTGTGCTTAAAAGTAGGAAAGCATATTAATTTCAAAGCTTACAAGTAGTGATGGCTGGTCTGTCCACAATTCCCAATTCAACCATTTTATACTCTAAGAAGAACTGAGGCTATTTTTTCCCTAGTTAATGATATTAACTAGTCATTTGTTCCTGAGAAAAGAAGGAAAAAGATGTGTGTTAGGCTTATAGTAACTTCAATTAGTTGTTAGCAAAAGATCTTATCCTGGTAGCAAAACCAGAAAAAAAAAAAATCTTTTAAATTAATTTCAAGATGCCTACATTTAGAGAATGGCATTGCTTTAACAGAGCTATGCAAATGAGTCCAATTTAGCATCTTGTATTCAGCTGGAAACCATTGCTAAATGATCGGGATAGCCAGTCACAGATATTAAAATGAATTATATCTAATCTGAATTTTAGTCACGCTACATTAACTAATAGAAAGTTATTAACATTTCAAGAGAAAAAAAGCTTTTGCCTGCAAAATTAACAGTGGCTGAGATGTGACCTGTGAGCCATGCAGCCTGATCACTGTAATGACAGTGTAATGGCATATTTACATTAAAATCTCTGCAGCTAATATGTGATTCAGAATTGGACGTTAAGTCGAGGATTATTTAGTCTGGCCTGTTGGCCTTTCTCTAAGTAGTTTTTTTTTTTTTACTTCAATACAAATCTGAAACTTTTCATTTCATGACTATTTATGTGACTAGTTTCTATGGCTATGTCTCTCCATCTTTACATCAGCTACTTTATATGGTCAGCTTACTCTTTCATTTTCCCCTTCCTTTTTCCAACATATTTATCATTTTTTGTCGGCACGTAAAACTTCAAGAAACTCACATTAGTTACAAGCCAGCAGGGAAAAGGGAAATATTTTGCTACTTCATTTTTACTACTAACTTGCTTCAAAAGGCAGTATATTTTCATGTTTTCCTTCCTACACTTTTTAAATTCGCCTGGAAAAAATGGATAATTCAAAGACATCGTTATCTGAATAGAATAAAATGTGCAATTATGCAGTTATTCTTAGCAGTCAATGACAACCTGACACAACTTCTCCTGCTACCAGTTCATTTGTACCAAAGCAAAGGCTTTAAAGTTATGGACGTAATAACAGGGCAGTTGTATAATCTGTAGCATTTGTTAGATTTGTGACATATTTGCATATATGAATTTGTTTGCTTCTTTATCTAAGAAATACAGCATCATTTTAAGTTTAAAAAATAAAGAAGTGCAATGAAATTATTAAGAAAAAATGGATAAGACAATCCTCATTTAATAATAAGAGCATTCTTAACAACAAGTCCAATGTAAAGATGAATTTGAAATTGGGCTTGTGATTATTTGTACAAAACAGGACATTTTCATAAGGGCTCAGATTCCAAGTGGATCTTCAATTCTGAGAAAAAAAAAAAAAGGCAAATGCATTTTATTAAGGCAAGTTTGTATGGCTTTTTTTTTTTTTTTTTGTAATTGTAGTATTTTTTTTTTCCTTTTCTTTTTCCTTTTCTTTTGTATTAGATATGTGTTTCCTTACCATTTCCTGTGCCCCTACAGGGAGATATTACTTTACTATATTGTTTGTGTACTTTACTTGTTTGTTTTTATTTTTAATGTAACTTCGCTAAAGTGCTAGAGCTAAAAGTAGTAATTAATGACTAAAGAAATATATCATACAAATTACAGATACATGTATATATTTCCATATACCAGGCAAACATATAAATTCACAAGTTTTACAAAGTAGGCAATATGATTGTCCCATAATTAGGCCTTCAGTATGGTCAGTATTCCCACAGATTTTGGTGCTGCTTTTCTTTCAACTCTAAATGAACAAGTAAACACTTGTGTGACTCCACTTTTACACTGATTTGTTTTCTGTTTACCATAAATCTGTGTTGTGATTTTGCTTCAGCTCAGACGTATGTCATTCACATGACATGAATGTTATCTCACCTCCATTTCCCAATTAGAGAAAGAGAATTAATATGGGGAAATCTGTTTGACTGACAAGTATCTTTGTAGGTAGAGCTCTGTGCACAGATTCGTAATAAGCACAGGTATAAATGCACAGCTTCACCATATTCCTGAAATCTTTATTGTGACTCGTACAGTAAAAGCAGATTGAAGAAATAATTAGAAATTTGATCTGATATAACATGGTAATTAGCTGAACTTCATTTGATATTTCTGAATTTATAACTGGTTTTTCATTCAGAATGCAAAAATGGCTCTGAGCAAGTCCTACAGATACTCTTCTTCATGGTCCCAGCTGGACCACAACTGCTTTACCCCTCATGGTCAGCTGATTCTGGTAGCAGCAGGACCAAAAAGGCTTCCCAGATATTATGGGGCTACCACTGAGAATTTTCAAGTAAATGTTTCCTTTTATTATACTTTTCACTTAGTCAGGTATGTGGTAAAGTTGTAACTATGCTGCAGATCAGACAGGACAGATACCACTACTGAAAATCAGACCAGATCTCAAAAGATAAAGCCAGAGAATTTGCTTCAGCCATGGTTGTAAGATTAAGTTGTTTCTTTCACTCACAGTGATGTATGAACTCTTGCACCATCACCACTACCACACACTGGGGACCTGAAATACTCTCTCATGATTGCATTTGACTCTAAAAATCACGTTTTCCCATTTTGGTCAGAGATTTTTTTTAATATAGACTGCGTGTAATAATTACTGTCATTAATATCACTAATTTGAACATTTGCTGCACAAATGCCAGAACCATTTTTTATACTTTTATTTCTACAACTGCCTCAGTGGTATTGTTGTATTTAAATTCAAAAGCCAGTTAATTAACTGGAAACATAAGGAACGTAAAAATGAAACTGCATAATCTTTGATATCCCAATTGACTAGCAGTATCTGTGGATAGTAAGAGAGTTTAGGAAGATAAGAGGGAGAAGTATCTAAACAGAAGTGAGCTGGAGACTCAAAGATAGTTGCCTATGCTAACTATCTTCAAAGCTCTGAAGACAAAAAAATGGTGCGTCTCTAACAGCGGGTTTCATAAAATGGAATAAAAGTCAAGGGATGCTGAGCTTACTTTTGAGAGAGGAGACTAGAAGGATAAAGCCCTACTTAGGTCTGACATATTTCTAATGTTAAGTGGTTCTCAGAGAATCTCTCTGGAATGCTGTTTTCTAAACCTGGCAAAACAGGTCTCTGAGAATTCGGCAGAAAGAGTATCTCTCTCTCATTCAGTATTAGCTCCATCCTCAGAACCACTTTATGAAAGCAGAGGTTTTCAGGGTGAAAACATTCCTTTTTATCATGGAGGCAGTTTGGTGGAGAGCCCACTTCTTTAGGAAAATGGCTAGATTCTCATACTTCATTAACAAAAACTTCTCAGAAGTCAAGTGCTGATCTACAAGTTACTGCTGATCCCCTACCTATGAGGTATCACTGTCAATAAACAAACTGCCACCAAAATATTTTTTTTCTGGATGTTTTTCTTTATATTAGACAAGCTCATGCACTTACTGCTTTCCTTCAGGTGCTTCATTGCTACATATCAAAAACAGGCCAACAGACAACATTGTTCTTTGCCTTTGTTATGAGTAAGAAAGATACGAAATTAGATCAGCTTTTGAGATGTGGGCTTAGCTATTGAATATCTGCAATCTTTGGTGACAAAATAGTGAAGGGTGCTTACAAACATAAGAGAGCTATACTCCATTCTGAAAAGTTCACGAACATTGTCTATCTCCCTACTGTCAGCAGTACCTGGAAAACGAGACTACCATTAAATATCTGTGTTATCATAATCTACCGTGGTACAGGTAAATCCAGGTTTTTCAAGATTATCTGCAAAGAGACGTAATCTGAAGATATCAAAAGCTTTAATTTTCAATAAATGAACTGAGTCTCTAATAGACCCCTTTTGAAACCATTTTTGCATCTTACAGGATTCATTCCAGAGTTATTTTTTTCTCTTTAACTCCCTTTTTCAATTATTGGTCTCCAAGACTTGCTATATTTTTTTAAAATAATATTTAATGATTATGAGGTCTACCTACCATTTTGAACAGCCTCCATTCTTTATCTGCACATCTCTCCCTTATTCATTTCCATGACTTTCCTGACATTATGTCATATACATGAAATAATCTTTCTGAAAAGTCAAGCAAACAACCCAAGCACATAAAGCAAATGAACAGCTCACCTTCCAGACCTTTACTAAGCCTAATTCACATTCTGAAGCTTACAAAGTCTGCATTACTCTAAATATAAAGAAACTTTAGATCACAAGCAATGGTCAACGCTAAGCAATACACACACAACTCTGTGTAGCCATGAATGGTCTACACCATTACCAATGCTTTTTTTCTCCTTTTGGCTAGTTCCTCAGCTGCTTTGTCTTTTTTGTTTGTTTTTAAAACTGAAATTTCTTTCAGACATGCTCTATCAGATTCTATCAGGTCCTTGGCCTGATTGCTGGCTTATACTGTCATACAGCCATATATAAAAAAAAAAAATGGCCAAAAACATGCTCAGATATTGTCCTTATATTACACAAATCTTGCAATTTAGTTTCCTACTGGCTCTTCCTTAATTCTGTTTTTCTGTTTTGACACTCAAGACCTGGGCAAAAATACCATAATTATTTAAGCTACATAACAAGGAGAATTTCTCCTAAATCACGCAGCCAAGCAGATGGAATCATCATCAACATGTGAAAAAGTAATAATCTACACGTTAAGAAATGCCTTATAACAATTGTGGATTAGACTTAACAAAAAAAAAAAAAAAAAAAAGAAAAGGACACCAATTACTTGAAAGTATGTGTCAACAAACTATTCACTTAAATAGCATTCTAAATCCTTTTTGGCTTTCTGTGCTACCACTGTAGCCACGCGAAACATAGCTTCTGCCCTCAAGGGATTATAATTTCTGTAGATAATACGAGAACTCAAATAAGAGAAGAGAAAGATGAAAATCATCTGGGAAAAAGTGCTGTTTTGTGCACTTCATCCCAAGATCAATGCTGGCATCTTTTCTTTCAAATCAGATGAGGAAGAAGAGGTCAGTCAGGAAGTGTGCAAGCATGTAAGGAACAACACCTTTTGTTCCTGGGCCTCAGTGAGAAGCTATCTCTTATAGCCAAGAACTTGGCCTGATAGAGCTGTAGGAGAGAAGGGATACGAGCAAGCCATCAAGCCACATAACTTCCATCTAACAGGCTCTTTTGCTTTGGAAAGCCTACAGCAACTACCAACAGGAACCAGACCAAACATCCACATTCTTTTAAACAAAGAGTTATAGGAAGGTTATAGGTTATAAGCAGACACCCAAAAGAAAATTAAAGTGTATGCCAAAAGCTTGGAAAGATAATGTTCAGTAAAAATGAATTTTTAGTCCTAAATAGTTGTAAATAGTCAATGAAAATAGAGATGTTATAATTATGAGATAAACAAGAGAGTCTGGCAGAGCAGATTATAACAAGAAAAAGAACAGATAGAAAGCTTACCCACATCCTGGACTTGCTGCATAACTCCTAAGGAGAGATCTCCAGAAGAGACCTTTTCCCAGAGGTAGCCAGCTCTTAAATGGGCATAGGAAAGGTGCAGCCAGGCTCCACTCCTTCCAGCAGCATAGGTAAATTGCCTTCACCTGTGCTCTGTGTCTGACTCAGGTGATCAATCAGAGGTTCAGGCCATGATTCGGCAGTTCCCATACAGTCCCGTACCATATTACTGAGAGAACATTTGCATCCATAAGTCTGAATTCAGAAAATAAGTATATATGTATCTATATGTATCAAAATAGTAAAAATAAAGAACATCCATGTTTTGCTCCCTGAAGTGCTAACTCTAGAATCCTTTCTACTGAAGCAAACTTTTGAGGATGATTCCTGACAACAGCCTCTGATTTGCCTTCCAGGTCATGCTACATTTCCCCTCTGTCTGTACACAGCATTTGTAATTACTAGTTATATTGAGATCTTGGCTGGTCAAGGAATATAACCGTTCTAAGCACGCACATGGAAGTGACTAAACTTAACTAAGGGCATGTATGCTTGAATATTAAATAAGTAAGTGTACCACTAACACTTATGTAACATAAAGGTTCTGGTGGTCTTTTAGCATAATCATAATACATTTGATTTACTTATATCACTTCGGACTTAAGAAGCACAAGATAAAGAACAGATAGAATGAAATAAAATTAAGTACATTCTGACTAATAACCTATTGGTTCTGCAAAATATAGTTTAAATGTGAATTTCTGATACTAATCAGCTAAGTATCTCATACCGTATTTAATTTTTCTGGTATTGAATTGTGACCATTCACATATCACTGGGCAGACAATGATGAAAATTACAAACTTTTGAGTTTAAATTTTCTTTAAAAATTCAGTTTGACCTTTACAAGGACACTTCATGTAAAACTAACTCACATTTCAGTCCTAAATTGTTAATGCACTACAAGGTTAATTGCTCCTATTAATCCATTAAACAAGAACTGTATGTCCTTTCTTATATTAACCATTATTTACTTTTTTCATTCTTCCAACCAAAGCCCACAAGCTCCTGTCTTTGTTACAAAAACTAACAAAATGTTAGTTTGATAGATCTCACACAAGTTTACTGGTTTCCATTTGCGTGCCTCCAAAAGTTCTAAAAGTCTTGGAATAAAAAAAACATGCATCAAACAGGGAGGTCAGCAGTTTGTTGCGATCACTTGCTGGAGCAGTTCAAGGAACTTCTTTAGTTAAAAAAAATATTTCTTTTTTTTCCCCATGTCTGTGATTTGAGAACAAGAGAGGAGATTTTATGTTCATATATAGCAATGGTAAGCAGCTGTAAAAACGTCCCACCCTAAAGATTGATGAATATATGTTTCATTAACACAAGCACATCTGAAAGACATTTGACACTTTGGAAGACCAACTATAGTTCTTTAAAATGCCTCAGCTGAAATTCTTCAGATTATGGTCTTTAATGGCCATCCAAGGAGCCTTAATTGCCTTCTCGATTTGAAAATATATAAAACCTTTCCTTCTGACTATATTTGACTGCAGCCTAGTTTACTTTGCTAGAATATTTGGAAATGCTCTTATGTAAGCCAATGTGAGACCTGCATCAGCAACATTTAAAAAGCCCTTCTGAAACCTTTTTCCTCTATCCTCTTTATAGTGGTTGTTTTTTTTGTTTTTTTGTTTTTTGTTTTTTTCTTTCTTTTTTTAGCTCACAAAACTAATCAGGGAGACTTTAAAGAATCGTCCGTACACATGAGTACCAAATAATTAATAACAACAGAATAAATAATTTGTGACTATCCCATGCCATTATCAGTGAATGGCTTTGAAGAATGGTCACATCTGTATGCAGTTACAATGCAAAGAAATCCAGAAGCTGAACTAAGTGGATAACTGTTTCCTGCAAATAACATTTCTAAGTACTTCTAGCTCTAACACAACCCTGGATGAAGGCCATCCCAATGCTTGTAAAGAAAGAGCTCTCCTCCAATAGGGTACCTATCAGTAGTACAGGTGGAGGGCCCTACAGGATGCTTGTCTCACACCCCTGGAGAAAAGATTGGCCTCCACTAATACATGTGGTAGCACTGAGGGCAGGCAGGAAGGTTTCCATGCAGACTCAGGTAAGCTCAAAGGCTTTTGTCCACTCAGAATGAAAAGTACATTGTACTTGACAATAAACCTGCCATTTGAAACCTCAGGGGTTTTAATCTTATAAATAATAGAGTTCAGAGAAGAAGGGTTTGCCAGTCTGCATAGCTCTGCCTGGAATTCAGATTTATGTAATGCACTTATAAGAACATAGTGCTGAAATGCATGCAAGTGTTAGGGCATTTGAGATTCAGAGACTATATTGCACAAAAATATGCAACAGAACACTAATATTTCTCTCTGCTGTGCTATTTTCCTCTGCTGCCAGGAGAACACCTATCATTCAATGCCACATCAGAGCCAGCCAATCTAGTGCATGCAGTGACATGGATTTTTACTTTCTACTGAAGATCCTGTAAGTAGGTATGATGTCCACATCTGAGAAAACTATTTCTCAGATAAAATGAGCCTAAAATTTACAAACATTGTTGAACATGTACAATAAAATATTTCCATTTATTAAGACTGATAAAAACTCTTTCTTTGAATATGCCAGCCTACATAGAATCATAGTATGGCTTAGGTTGAAAGGAACCTTAAACATCATCTAATTCCACCATCCTGTCAAGGGCTGGTTGCCACTCACCATATCAGGCTGCCCAGGGCCCCACCTGACTGGCTTTGAGCATCTCCAATGATAGTGCATCTATAGCTTCTCTGGGCAGCCTGTGTCACTGCCTCACTGCTCTCACAATAAAGAATTTCCCCCTAGCATCTAACCAAAATTTCCCCTCCTTTAGTTTAAAGCCATTCCTTCTTTTCTGATCACTACCAGACCACATAAAAATTCCTCTTGTTTGTATGTACTGTACTCAAGCACTGGAAGGCAGCAATGAGATCTCCCCAGAGTGTTCTCTCATCCAAACTAAACAAACCCAACTCCTTCAACCTTTCTTCATAACAGAGGTGCTTTAGCCCTCTGAGCCCTCGGTTTGACCAGGAGGTCCTTGCTCAGCCATGCTGATTTCCTGCCTCCTCTACTTGATTTCTCATGCTGGAGGATGGAGAGCTCTTCTGTTCTCAGAAAGTGTCTTTTATATTTTGAGAATATTAAAAAAGCAGGGTTACTGTCTTTTTTTTTTTTTTTTTTTTTTTTCAGTGTTCAGTAAAGTCCTGAAATGATTAGTTTATTTATAAAGTATATAGAAATAACTATTTTAGACTAAGAAAAGAAAAGAAACAGATTTTGACTTGCTTCTCTCTGGGCATCAGCAGAAAAGTTGCAGTAGTTCTACTGCAAAACAAACCCATACCTCAAATACATTCAGGCATCAGAAAGAAAAATAAAATCCTACCATTTTTTAATGCAAAAAGAAAAGATGTGAAAAAGTAGCAGGACAAAAAAGAATGTATCAAATGCATTGTGGTGTATCTTTGTCTGGCAAGTGCATTCAGGAAATTGAGAGCATTTCTTTGCACTTTCCACTTATAATGTCCAGAATATTAAAATGGCAAGCATGAAGCTGTCAGCAGATGCAGTTTCACTATGGGGATGTTATCACATGCAGCTTTGCTGTGTTATTCATTGCTTGCAGCTCTTCCAATCAGATAACCTTAGCAAACATGGTGCTGTCAATTGCCAGATGTGGTACATGCTATGCAGCATCTAGTTTTTGATGGACTAAAATGGATCTGTGAATTCTTCTCTTTATCAACCATCAGACGCACTATGAGATTCACAATGAGTATCTGGAAGTGTGCTGTCAAGTGCCAATTAGTGATGTTGCTGACCCAAAAGATAAAGAAGATCATAGAAGAAGCAGCCCAGTATAATTCTACACTCCAGTGTCCTTAAAGGAGACTCTCGTTTGTGAATGTACTCCTGCAGATGAAAGGGAAATAGGAGGTCAGTGGTTCCTGTCTTCAACAGTCTTCTACAATCTTATAATGAATTGTAAATAGAATCACTATCAACCTGCTCTTCCTGCACTGGAAATCAGTGTGAATGGTTTAGGAAAGTCAAACACTGATGATATTGTCTCTCAAGCTGAAGGCTACACTCTTTCCTCTGTGCTCCTCACAGTCTGTGAGTCCATCTGGCAGGAGGTCACCCTTGGCTCCTGCAGTGCCCTATTTGGCTTGGTGTGTTATTCCACTTCCCCATCACCATGTGGTAAAGCCACTCCACACAGCTACTGTGCTGGGAACCTGAGCACTTAATCATTTGAAGACAATTTGAAGATTCATGAATCAATGGAAATGTCTGCCTTCTTCTCAGAACAATTCTCAGCACCATTTGGCAAAATGCTATTATTATCATTTAATAAGGTTTTATCATGAGGTATCCCTAATTTCAGAATTTTAAATGATTTTATAAAATCAAAAGCATAATTTCATGCCCAGATGATTGCCAGCTTGAACTGCAAAATAAAAATCCCTTCTCAGAAATGCAATGTCACTAGCATGTGTAGAGAACATCTGACAGTTTTGGATTTTAAGACCAGTCCTTTCCATCTAAGGGTTAATGTATGCAGTAGTCACTGTAGATGCAATATATTATTAATTAGCATATACAAAGCTTATTTATATTAAAAAATAATCTTTCACTATGCTTAGTGAAAGAGACATAATTCCTGTTATTACCATTACAAATGGCTGAAAACAAATATTGTATATAAAATTAATAAAAAATACAGGACAATACAGCAGCAAATTTGGAGTACATTTGTGCTCTACACTTGTGATTTTATACAGGACTGCTATTTTTAATGGTAGATTATGTGTGCCACTAGTATTTTTCTGAGGATACCCCTATACTTGAATGGCAATATTCCAAAAGAGTAGTTCTGGAGAAATGTGTTATATGGATCTGTGACACTTATGCTACACAGCTATTGTATATACAATAGATTTATGACTTTTTAAAGTATGTATGCACAGAGGAGGTAAAAATTACTTCAGATGTTCCCAGGCAACCATTAGAGGGTGCAGTGCTTTCCTGCACACCACAAAGCCACTGAACAGTTTGCTACCAAATCAGTCACGTTTCAGAGTCCACTGAAGTTGTGACACCACCACACTACTGCAGAAGTTCAAATACCATTGAAAGCACCTGTCAAACAAACATTAAACAAAGTCAACCAAATTCTGAGCTCATTCATGTATTGGGTTTTATGGCAGCATAACAGAAGCCTGTCAGTAAAGCAGGGAAGACCAGATGAAACTGTAAAACTATCTCCCTGTGTTATAATTTAGCATAGTAGCAGAACTACTCTCTGGGACATGCCAGGCAATAAGAGGACAAGTCACAACAACAAAGGCATTCCTAACAAGTGTGAACATTTATCAAGGTATGGAAACAATTTACAATGTTTTCAGAATCGTGGTTCAGGTCAGTTCATTTTTATACTCTCCCATATGGTTCTGCTCCTTCTATTTCCAGAGTGAACCCTATTTACCTGGACGGTTGCTGTAGAAAATATATTGTTTGCAGAGAAAGTGAGAGTCATCAATAAAGAAAACTTCTCAAGATAGGTATATTGAGTATGTGCATTGGTTTGATCTGACAAGAGAAGAAAATGGCAAACAACTTGTTTTCTGCATGAGAGGTATCTGAGAGCAGAGCACCGGTCAGACTGTATTGTGCCTTCCGGAGGCTCAGCAATAAAGGGACAGTATGGGTGGAGAGTGCAAACAGAAATGGCTTTCAGTTACATTTTCTCCTTTAGGAAACTGAGCCTACCAGCATACTAAATAGCATTTGCACCACATTTTCACTTCTCCCCAACTCTGCAGAGATCAGTTCAACTCTCCTGTGCGTAATCAAGAGCATAGACCACTCCTTGTGCATGGATCTGCTGTCCCTGAAGCTGGAAATACATGCCATTCTCTATGCCAAAATAGCCATGTCACACCACTTCTTAATAGTCTGGCCTCCCCTCACCATAAAAAACAAACAAACAAAAAACACACACATAAAAAAACATTAAGAAATGTTCCTCCTGTTCCTAAGAGTAGATACAACAAAAAACACAAAAGCTCATACAGCTAATTTTCTTCCACAGTAAAAATGCCTAAACACAGGTCTATGATTGCTCTAGCTTTGTAGTAGATTAATATAGAGTGTTGAAAGGGCTTATGGAAAGAAATTTTTTTTTTTTTTTTTATTTTTCCCTAATGAATCATGCAGCCTGTTGCCCATACTGAAGTGACATAGTAATCTTGAGCTTCAACCTTTTGGAAGCATCTAATAGTATGCAAAAACAAAGTTTATGATGTCAGAAAGCATTTATACTGGTTCACATGAAACTGGAACAATAACCAAAGCACTAGCCTGTGATCTGGGAAAAAAAAGCAGGACTTTGGGGGTTAGTAGAGGCTTCATTGATGGCAACTGCAATGAGTTCATCTTAAGCAGGGGACTGCGGTATTTACCTGAAGATGGAAAGAAGCAGTAGTTTTGCACCTCTTTCAGAAAAGGCAAAGTTCAAGGCAAAGTGAGAATGTCTTCTCCATGAATCCGCACAGAAAAATACTTTTGCATTCATGTGACATTGAGAAACAAATGACAGAGAATTTTCCATTGATAATTTAATTTGGAGGCCAGAGGGCCATCAATAACGTCATAAGCATACAACATAAAGCCAACTTTTCCCTGAGACAAGCAATCACAGTACAAATCTTTACAGCACGTTTGAATTTGTGCCTATGGAATGAAAATCTTGAAAAATATAAATAAGTGGTGGGGACAGATTCAAGCCCACCGCAGATCATCATGTCTTTTTCATAAATACTTAAAACACAGAAAAATGAATCTGTAGATCTGGGCTGTGGAGTGTTACCCAGAGGTGCTGAACATCTCTGTCTCCTATCTATTTTAAAAGAAGATACAGAAACATCAGAATCAGACAATTGTCATCTGTCAGGGTCATTTAGCAGAAAAATTCAGCCCTAACAGCTAAAACCTAAAATACATTAGGAGCCTCAATTTCTGGAGTAAAATTTACCCATTCCAAGATCCAGGTTCCTTTGGTGGTGCATATTTGCCACTGAAATCAAGGATTTTTAGCATAAAGTATGTTGAGTTAGGCAATGTTTAAACCCACTAAGAAATGAGGAAGAGAAGCTAATAACCCCAAATCATATTTCCCATAGGACTAAGCCACGCACATAGAGCCCTCAGTTAAGCATTAAAATGTAATTCACATTCACATTCACAGCAAAACCTTCTGACTCACAGGCGCTTTGTTCCTCGAGGGCTGGACAACTGGATTACTCTTTAATTTTTGAAGATGGATGGTGGTGATGCTGCTGCTCATCTTTTATAGCAGTGGTTAAAGCACTCACCCAGAAACTGGTGAACTGACTATGGTTCACTGACCTCCTCAGAGAGAGGGGGTTCAAATCTATGGCTTACAGCCCAGCCTCTGTCTGCCAAGTTAAGTCACAATTACTGGTGATTTGGGAAAGGAGGGCAGAGCAGGAAGAGAAGGAGAGGGGCAGTTGGCTTCCCACTGAAGCTGTGCGGCTGTTCAGCAAAGTATGTAAGATTTATAAGGCCTGAGAGAAATTAAAAATTAGAAAAATGGAGCTTGACTCTAGCCTAAAAATGAAGGCTTCCTCTGGGAGAAAGTAAGAGCCATCCTCTTCAATGTTGCTAATGCTTCTAATTAATTTAGTTTTAAATGAGGTTTTACAGTAAGATTTTCATATGTGTGAATGGAGTCACTCTTTGATACATTTATCAACATTAATGAAGAGGTGAGTTTGCAATAGATGCCTGATGAAAGGCTGTGTTGGAATGTGAAGCCACGCTCTGTGCAGGGTGACACCATGCCCTGTACCATCATTCCAAGAGCCACCTGTGTCACTGCCCATGCTGAGCAGCCATGTTGTGCCAGCAGGGAGCATGTGGGCACACTCTGCCTCCCCTGAAGGCATTTCCCTGTCTTCATGCCAGCTGAAGGTCAGCTACAATGCAGGATCATAGAATCACAGAATCAGAGAACGACCTGGGTTGAAAAGGACCACGATGATAATCTAGTTTCAACCCCCCTGCTATGTGCAAGGTTACCAACCACTAGACCAGGCTGCCCAGAGCCCAGGATGCCCCATGCAGCCACTAAGATTAACTGGTAACAGGATAAAGAAGGAACTGGTATGAAAGAAAACTGACAGCGGAATGAGGACAAAAGGGGATGAAGTTGTATGTGAGTACTCACAGGAGCAAGCAGAACCAATCTGCTTGCCAAAGGCAGTTTTCCCAGAAGGAAGGAGCAGAGTTCTGGCGCAGGCTCCCCTTGCACCACTGCCCACGTGCACCCAGCTCTGGTGACAGAAAGATGAGGAGTGAAATGAAAGGAAAACCAGACGTAGGCAAACTTCAGGATGCCATTTGGGTGCTCTCTTACAGCAGGATAAAGCCTAATGAGATTGGTGTCTTCTCAACTTTTCAGTACATTAAATGCTTTGTTTTGTTTCGATTGCTTCCAAATTCATTCACCAGTCAGGTTACAATTATTGCTGCTTTTGGAAGAACCTCCTAATTTCCTCACTATTGTTCATTCAGACACTTTAGTTAGTTGCTATTTGGAGCAAGTGCTGGAGATGTCACAGGTTTACTGATTTTCTTTTTAATTTAATCTCTATTTTATTTTATCTTCAAGAGTTTGAAGATCAGGAGCTATGCAAAAAAATTGCTTCTTTGTGCAACGTTTGCTTTGGTTGGCTGATAGTGAATTTGTAGCCACAGCAATGGCTTTGATTCACCAGGGAGAAAATCATGCTTTTACCTAATCTAACCAAACCAACTTTGTTCAGATTGATTCAGCTTCCAGCCTTGGCTCTGACCTCACCCTTACCCTCAATCCTGCCTCACTTTCACACTGAGTATTTTATACAGCCTCT